TTCCCTTTAATACCTCGTTCAGAGAAGAATTGTCTGGTCAGTCTCTTTCATCAATCTTAACTGATGAGTTTTTCCTTGTCTCTAATTTCTTGTTATTTTCTTCTGTGAACTATTTCTAAATCTGCAATATATTCTTTTTAAATTACTTTATAAGTATTGCCTTTCAGGTTTTGCCATGAAGTATCATTACCTGTTTATATACTTACTTTTTAATTTTATCAGTTTCATACTATAGTCTGCCTGTTGTCTTCGTATCTTACAGATGTGCGTGAAGCATTAGGCTTTGTATAGGTCCTTTTTCTTAAGTACGCAGTGAAGGTTATAGTATGAGTAACTAAGACTGTAGACTCTAGTTCAGTTATGTTTTCTCTAATGTTCATTTTACTGCAGATATTTTTACAGAATTTGAACTTGCATCTTGTTGCCTGTTCATCCAACGTGGTGTGAAGTCCGTTATCTTTTCTTCTGAATTTGATCAATCTGTGATACTTCGTGTTATACGTGGATTTTTCAATTCCACAGCTCACTTCCCTTCCAAAATTGAAGTAAATAGCTTAAAATAGCAAAAGACTTAAAAAAGAGTAGAATCAAGGTACCTTACTAGACTTTTTTTGCAAAATGTCACAGGCTGTTTGTTCTATCTCTTTGTTTCCTGCCTGTTAGTCAGATTTTGATTCACAACAACCTTTTGTCTCCTAACCCATGATTAATGTTCCAGAAACTTTTCCTGAAGGTCCTTGTCAAAGATCTGTCAAAGATTTAAGTCTAGATACAGCCTCTAAAACAAAAAACAGTGGCTATTTTAAGAAAGAGTTTCTTCCCAACAACTCAAGACCTTCTTACCTGAACTCCTGAAGGACTCCTGGGTGCATACATGACAATACATTTTTCCTGGCTACTTAGTGTTTTGGTCAGATACTGATCAGATAAATTGTCAGTTTATCTCAGAAACCTAGTAATTCCTGTGGACCTGTTGGACCAATAGCTCCTTGAGTCGTTTGGACCTGCTAGTTCCTTTGGAAACGTCCAGTTCATGATATATTTTTTTTGAAAATTCTTTGTTTCTATGTATTTTCATGTTTAACTCTTTATCGTTCATACCAGATCACTGAATTATTTTTCGTATATTGGCTTAGAAGTTTTATCTGGTGTATAATTTGTAACCTCTAAGTTATTTATAACATATAAGTTATAATGACTTGTATAAATTGTGATCCTTTTTATCCTGTTAATATTAATATTTTCAATTTGAAATATGGAAACTATTGTGTTTAACTGAAATTTCTTCTTAAAACTTTCTATGTAATTTTTCCAGCAATTTTTTTTTGGTCTTCAGTTCTGTGACAGTTCTCTGTTGAAAGGTATGGAATTTTGAGGTATTGTTTTTGCATGTGATATCCAGGATACCTGCAATGACTTCTTCTTAGGTGTTTTTCACTAGCTTTCTCGTTAGGATGACATCTGCAATTTATGCATGTCCATTTGAGCTAGTCACCTTAGCTTTTCTTTAGGAACAGAAATAAGATTAGTTTTTTGAAATACTTTAGATCTTTACTTTAGAATAAGATGGATAGAATAAATAAATGAACAGAATATTCTCTCCATTGAATAAACAGGCAGCTTAAGATGACTGGTCTAAAGGATGCTGTTATATTCTTCTTTGGTACCTGAGATACTGAATCTAATTTTTTTGTGGTAATTTTTATTTAGTTGCTTAGTGACTCGTTTCTTGAATTAGCTTCAGTGTGTTATAAAATATGTCTCTCCTGTTACATACTTTATAGCAGTAAACATTGAAGGCATAAAAAAAATTCTCCACACTTTTTCTCATATTATTTGACTGGTACATATGCAGACAGTAAAAGTCCTCCCTCATTATCACTTGTTGACATCTATCCCACTCTGTTACATATGGAATTTTCTATGTAGTCTCCTTGCATGTCTTAATATTCTTACTGTCAGCTTCTTTTGAATACATAGCTAAACATATTTTGTTTGTACCTTGGACCTGCGCATTAGAAACATTGTCTTTTTTTTGTATTTATGAAGCATTTAGCACAATGCATACAGACACTTGGCTACTGTCATGCTGCTAGAGTGGGTCATGAATTCTGCTGCTAATGGAAATGGAGTCAAACACTGATAATGGGAAACAATTTGAACAACGTTCATTTTAAGTGCTTTGTGCCTTAGAAATAGGTATATTCATAGTTACTCTGTTAATACCCATGAAAAATAATAATGAATGTTTCTTAAGGACTTGGACTCTGATTTTTTAAGTCTAGTACAGATCTGTGAGGGTTAAACAACGACTGGAGGAATCAGTTATCCAATATTTTATTGACATTTATAATTTTTATGCAATTTCATATACTGCAGTGATAAGTTAATTCCGGATTCTTGAAGCTATTAGTAAACCTTTTCCTATCTGTAAGCCACAGAGAAATCAAGCTATTGCATATTTAGTGATATTAATTGGAGTTTCACTTTTGACTTTAACGAC